AGATCATAGAGTGTAAAACAGGATTAAAGAACCCCTGGTGGCACTGTGGGCTGCTAATTGCAAGGTCAGAAGTTCAAACCTACTAACCGAGCCTCAGGAGCAAGCTGAGGCCATCTGCTCCTCTCAAGGTTTACCATCTCAAAGCTAAGAACCTGAGCGCAGGGGTACATGGGCGATCAGAAATAAAGAAGAACACACACCCAGAGGAAGATAAAATCGATGCTTGGGAGCTACTAAACATGAGACATTTGTGTACGTCGAAAGATTTCATCAAGAGAGTAAGAAGAGAGCCTACAGAATGGGGAAAAGGACTTGACCAGAAGATTCACAAAGGAAGAAATCTGAACTGAATGGCCAATAAACATATGAGAAAATGTTCCCAATCATTAACCATTCCGGAAATGCAAATCAAAACAACGATGAGAGACCACCTAATACTCACAAGGAGTATTCAAAAAAACAGAAAGCAACAAATGTTGGAGAGGGTGTGGCGAGATAGGAATGCTCATTCACTGCTGGTGGTCTTGTAGATATGTACAGTCCCTGTGGAAAGCATTGTGGCGATACTTATGAGTGGAAACCCAAAGCCCATCTATGGGCAACTGGACAATCCCTTACAGAAGGGTTGAGGGGAGGAGATGTGCCAGTCAGGGTGCTGTATAGCACTGATGAAACATACAACTTTCCTCTAGTTCCTAAATGCTTCCTGCCCCCACCCCCTACCATGATCCCAATTCTACCTTACAAATCCGGATAGACCAGAGCATGTGCAGTGGTATAGATCAGAGCTGGAAACACAGGGAACCCAGGACAGATAGACCCCTCAGGACCAATACCAGGAGGGGAAGAGGAAGGTGGGTTAGAAAAGGAGAACTGATCACAATTATCTACATATAACCCCCTCCCTGGGGGACGAATAACAGAAAAGTGGGTGAAAGAAGATGTCAGATAGTACAAGACATGAAAAAATAATCATAATCTATAAATTATCAAGGGTTTGTGAGGGAGGGAGGGGAGAAATGAGGAACTGATACCAAGGGCTCAAATAGAAAGAAAATGTTATGGGAATGATGATGGCAACAAATGTACAAATATGCTTGACACAATGGATTGTGTATGGATGGATTGTGTAAGAGTTGTATGAGGCCCCAATACAATGATTTAAAAAAAACCAGATGGAAATGGAGCTACCATATGACCCAGCAATTCCACTACTCAGCATATACACAGAAGAAATAAGAAACAGACCATAACTAAACATCTGCTCTCCAATGTTCATTGCTGCGCAGTTTACAATTGCAAATAAAATGTAAACAGCTTAAATTTCCATCAAAAGAGTAATGGATAAAACACCCTGGTATATACACACAATGGAGTACTACACATCCCTGAAAAGTAGTGATGAAACGATGAAACACCTCGTCTTGTGGAAAGAGTTGGAGGATGCTATGCTGAGTGAAGCCAAGCACAAAGGGTGAAGTACAACATGAGTCCACTGAGGTAAGCTGAGACAGTTGAAGTTTACTGTGCCAACCTGGCCGATAAACACATATGAGGTTAATTGAAGAGTGGAGGGATAAATGGCTCGGTGAACCTCGCCTTTCTAGTTCTCAGGTCGCTTGCTTTCTGATGGTTGGACCAGGGTGCAGCTGCCTTAGCCAGTTCCCTGCTTTAGCTGGCAAGGCTCACTTCCTACAAGACACCCCTGAGAAGAAGCCGCATGGACCTACCCCGATGCAGCCCTGGGTGCTGAAGCAGCTGTGCGGAGACCCCTGCCAGCACTGAGATGCTTACACGCTCACTGATTCGGCTTTCCTCCTGCAGTCGGCATCATTGCGTGTGTTTTGTGGGATGGAGGAGGACTTTGTGGATTGGTGTTGGACATATGGGCTAATGTTGGACTTGTGGGCTTGGGCAGCACTGGGTTGGGATGTTTTCTTGATGTGCCCTTATCTTTCATATAAAACTCTCTCGGATACATATGGGTTTCTGTGGATTTGTTGCTCTAATGTACCCAGACTAACACATAAGTCCAAACAGCAGAATGGGCATAAGGGAAAATGCACACAGGACACAATTCCCGGGCTGAAGACCAGATATTGTGGCATGAGTCAGACCAAACCCAGTGATTCACATCATCGACAAGAGATGCAGATGGCACCTGCGCTGAAAGGCATGGTCCCACCCCTCCTCCCAATATGCCTTTAAGGCCCATAGAGGGGTGGGGGAGGAAAAACGACGGCAATGGCGGGGAGGGGTGCCAGGGCACTGACCAACCCAAGGGGAGTGTATTCTTTATATCTGCACTGGAAAGGGAGAGCGAGAGTAGACCTCATTCTGGTGTGCCAATCCTTGAGGGCAATGTTCCTGCTCAGAGCAGCTCATTCCCAGAGGTGACTGCAGGGCCGGCCTCAGCCCCAGACGTGATGTCCTCTCCCTAGAGGACAGCATTGCAGAGGACAGCCCTGAAGATACAGCTCCGGGAGAGGGGCCGGTCTGACCCGCCCACATGGGGGGGGGGGAATTGAGAGGAGCACAATGGACCAGTGAAGTGGGAGTCAAGCCATGAACACCCCAAAGAATCCCAATCGTAGACTTTTGACCCGGGGGGAGTATTTGGCACCCCATCTGAACTGGTTTGGGATTATTCACGATACTAATAGGCTCATGCAATAGTTGAGCCTTTGTGTTTTGTTATTTCAATTGGCATAATGCCCTTCAAACGCATGCATGTTGTGAGATGTTTTGCAGGTCCATCACTATTCGTTTTCGTTGCAGAGTACCGTTGCATTGTGTGCATACCACAGCTTATCTGTTCATCTGTTGGAGACTCTGGTTGTTTCCATCTTTTTGCTATTGTGATGAATGCTAAATGAACATGGGCATGTCTGTGTCTATTTGTGTCATGGCTCTGATTTCATTAAGGCATATACCTAAGAGTGGGATAGCTGGATCATATATTTCTTTCTAGATTTTTAAGTAAGTTTCTGTGGTGGTTACTTTACTTCATGTTAACTTGAAGGGGTAGTATTCAATGGGTCAATCAGGTTACAGCCTGAAGGTGACTCCTTGTCGGCATGGCTTTTTCATGAGGAGGGTCCTGGGAACCTCCCCTCTCTCTCTCTCTGCCCTCACCTTTCTGCTCATTGACCCTGGTTGCTGCAAGCCCTGTGATGCTTCCAGCACCATTGGATCCACAAGACTTCATACCCACTGGCCCGATCTCCTGCATTCTGTGTCACTGCATGTAACTTTGTGAGTCTGAAGAGGGACTTATGAGCTCGTATCAGACTTGTGGACTTGAGTTGGACTTGGCTGGGATGTTTTCCTGATATATAAAGCTTCTGATATAAAGCTCTTTCTTACACATATGTGTCACTGAATTTGTTACTCTCATCAATCTGGTCTAACACAATGCCAAACCATCTTCCACAGTGGTTGTACCATTTTACATCCCCACCAACAAGAGTATCAAAGCTCCAAGTTCACCTCAACTGAACGAACATTGGTTTTTGTTTTGTCCTAAATTAATGCCATTGTTCTCAGGGTGAGATGGTATCTCATTAGAGTTTTGATTTTTATCTTTCTCATGGCTAATTACTGTGAGCATTTCTTCACCTGTTTATTAGCTACCTGAATGTCTTCCATGATGAAATGTCTGTTCATACCCTTGGCCTATATTTTAATTGGATTGTCCTTTTGTTGTTGAGGTGTCGATATTTTTTTTACATTAGACCTTGACAGGTAGGCCATAGTCAAGTTTGTAGTTTCTCCTTTTATTCTGTGGTTCTATCCTGTTCTATAGGGTCACTCACTACAAGTCAGCATCCAATCGGTGGCGATGAGTTTACGTTTTTCTTGGTTGATTTTGTATCTTGCTATTTTGCTGAAAATCCTTCTGTTAGTTCCATTAGCTAGCTATCTTGTGGGACCTAGGGATTTTCTGAGTAGAATCACATCAACCTATGAATATGGACAGTTTTACTTCTTCATTTACCAAGTTAAAGGTCCTTTGTTTGCTTTTCTTGTGTTATTGTGTTATTTTCTGAAATTATTGGCTTCAGCCATTTCTGTAAGGGGTCCTGGTACCTTTTAAGGGGGAGCAGCATTTAGAGATAAAACCTGGGTGCCAAGGACTGCTTCTAGGTCGTGAATTCATATTCAAATTTTCCATTCAAGGTTAATACAGGGTTTTTACTAAATTTTGTAATAATCCCTGGTGGCACATTGGTTAAAGCACTCCACAGCTAGATTTCTATGGTCTTATGGGGAGGAATCAACTCCCTGACACACATTTTGTTTTTATACTTACCACTTTTCTTCACTTTTTTTTTTTTGCTCCTAACAACGTCAATAAAGTGACTTAATTTTCACACATCAACCCTATGAGATAGCTACTTGTGATCATAAAAAGAGGGAACAGAAGGAAAAAAAGGAGGGAACATAGATGAGCGGCGGGGCCCCAAGGCTGTGCAGTCAATAAGCAGCGACGTAAGGATGCGAACCCCGAAACCTCACATTCCAGTAGGGAAGAAATTCAGAGGAGCTTCTGGAAGCGGAGGGTCTGAGGAGGACGAATAGGGTGGGAAGTGCGAGAACCAGCCCTCGGCGTGCACAGATCCGTCCAGACGGGTGTCCTTACACGGGGCGGGCGTGACGGGGGACAAACGGCGGACGTAGGCGACCGTCGGAGAAGCACTGAGAAACTTCCTCTCCGACACTCTCCGTCTGGACTGGGCGCCCCGTCGCCCCGCCTCCGCCCACCAATCAGTGGGAACTGTGAATAGGGGGGCGGTACAATGGAGACGCATGCCCAATGAGCATGCGGAGATTGCTTCCGGAAATAGCGTTTCAAAATCCAAGTGGTGGGCGGGGAGGCGGTGGTAGGGATTGGTCAATCCAGGGGTGCGATTTACGTGGGCGGAGCCTGGCAGTCCATAAAGCCGCGCTCGCATCGCGGTTTGCCCCGCTGGAGCGGTCAGCGTCTCCTCCGGCCGGGAACGGGGCCGGCCTCCTTTGTCCGCTTCTCTCGCCTCTGCGTTGGACGCCGGGGGACGGTGTCGGCGTCGGGCGGGCCATGGCGAACTCGGGTTGTGGGAATTGCGGGAAGCACGAGGAAGACACTTTTCTGTACTTCGCCTATGGCAGCAACCTGCTGACGGCGAGGATCCACCTCAAAAACCCCTCGGCCACCTTCTGCTGCGTGGCCCGTCTGCAGGTCAGTGCTGCCCCGCCCCGCCCACACAACCGCCACCGCCTGTCCTGAACTCACTGCCCTGTCCTGCGTTCCGACAGGGTCGAGCTGCCTCCGTGGGGTTTTCTAGGCTAGGCGTCTTTGTGGAAGCAGATCCGCCAGGTCTTTCTTCAGCAGAGCTGGGGGAGTTCAAACCAACGACCTTTGGGTTCGCAGAGCTTCTGTTTAACCCCTGCACCAGCAGGGCACCGAGTTACACACAAGTGAGCCAGAATCCAGTGAAGTTGCTCTCCTCAGGGCCAGGAATCCAGTCGCCTCCCTTATTTTATATTGTTGTTGAGACTACACAGCAGAACATTACCAGTTCCGATGTGTAAAATTCAGTGACACTGATTCTAAACTTACTGTTCTGCACTCTGGTTTCCTTTCTAATCTTTCACCCCTTCTTCTGGGTCAGAGTACATCCAGGTTCAACTCCCTCTTCTCATCCATCCAGGCAAATTCATTTCTTCTTACTACCCTGCGCTGAATCATACCATCCATGCTCCCGCAACAACTGGGCCCGTTCCAGGGCCTTGTGCACGCATTCTGTGCATGTGCTTAGCATCACGCCCAGATCTGACTTCTCTTAGCCACTGAGGCATAGGCAGCCTCCAAGGGTCCGTTCGGCTGGTTGACAAGCCTTCTTTGATCCAGGAACCTTGTTGCTTTCTGCGCTGTACTTAGCGTTTGTTATGGGACTTGTCATCTGCCATCAGCTAACAACCCCGCACTAGGACTGATCCTCTCTCGATAATCCAATAGAGTGCTTTCATTTCCAGTCTTAACTCTACCTCTCAGGAGCTTCCATATTGCCATCCCCTCACCTATGGCTGCTGAACGTCTCTGTCAGTCTCTTGATCTGGGTGGGAAGTCCGGAAAACTGGAATCATAGACACCATTGTGCCTATAGGCAAGTGACTGGGGGAGCAGTGCTCTACCATCCTCAGTAGATCAGTGTTCTCCTTCCCATCCATCCATCCATTCATTCGGCCCTTCCTAGAGATGCAAGGATAATTGAATGAAGTTGCTGCTTCGAGGACCTCTACTGGACGGAGGAGACACGCGAGCAAACACATGGTGTGCAGACCCTTTCACGGCGTTGAAATAGATCGGTACTTACTCATCAGTGCCCTTAGTTACAGGCAGCAAAAAACTGGCTGATTTAAGCAGAAAAAGAATGTGCTGAAAGGCTGTTGGAGTGCTCACAGAATGACCAGGAAGGCAGGAACACCGAGCTGGAAAAACATGCAGACATAAAGGGAGGGCCAGGACCTTTGGTAGAGCCCAGTACACAGCATCACATGACAGGGAGCTACTGCGGCACCACTGCTGGGCTTGGACACGTATCACACAGCACCAGCACAGCCTGCACTGGAGTCCAGTTGTCACTAGCACTACACCCCTCCTGTCCCCAAAACCCAGCAGTCGCCACCGGCACCACCGGGGTGAACCCTATACTGCCCTATTAGCCCTGGCTTCTACTTCAGATCCCCAAGTGGTGCCCTCACCGGTGAAGTCTTGTCCATGTGCGCATGTTCAGGGTGCTCAGGAAAGTCTTCTTAACAAGTGTGACTTTTAAGTCCAGGCTTAAATGAGTGGGGAGGAGGGTCAACACAACAAAGGGAATGGGTCTTCAGAGGTTCAGGGAGACTTGGGATCTTATCTCTAGGCCCATTGCAGAACTGAAGTAAATTTTTAAAAAATAGATTTACATCTTGGGAGGCCCATTCTGGTTCTGTGGAGAATGAGCTAGAAAGGGGGTGTCGAGGGGCGATGGGGGCAGCCCGCTTTGGAAGCTGTTGAAGTGGTCCGCATCAGAGAGCAGGGCATCGAAAGTAGGCGGTGTGGGAAGGGTGGTGGAGGCTAGATGGGTTGGCAAGATGTTTAGGAGATCACGTCATTAAGGCTTGGTGGTTGAAGGAGGGAAGAGGAGATAGGGAGATAATCAAAGATATGGAGGCTATTGCTGTAACTCCTGGAATGATGATCATCTTTTCTGGGAGGAGAGAAGAAACAGGTTTGGGAGGGAAAATTAATACATTCAGTTTGAAATATTGAGTTTAAGATGCTGTGAGACAGATCAATTGATCAGAAAAATAGGAACATTTACTGAGTATATAGAGGGTTGCTGTGTTAGTCTGGGTAACCTAGGGAAACAAATCCACAGAAACTCACATGTATAAGAGAGTTTTATATAAAGGGTAAATGTACATTAAGAAAGCATCCCAACCCAGTGCTATCCAAGCCCATTAGTCCAACATTAGCCCATATGTCCAACACCAATCTACAAAGTCCTCTTCCATCTCACAAAACACACACTATGATGCCGACTGCAGGAGGAAAGCCGAGTCAGTGAATGTGTAAACATCTCAGCCCTGGCAGGGTCTCCACATGGGTGCTCCACTACCCAGGGCTGCATTGGGGTAGGTCCATGCGGCTTCTTGGGGGTGTCTTGTAGGAAGTGAGCCTTGCCAGCTAAAGCA